AAACTAGTACAGTATAAATGCAGTGAAACCTGTTTAAACTGAATATCAATGGGACTGATAAGTGAAACCTGTTTAAACTGAATATCAATGGGATTGATAAGTGAAACCTGTTTAAACTGGATATCAATGGGACTGATAAGTGAAACCTGTTTAAAGTGCCTGTGAAATGGCTGCTATTTTCACGCCTAAAATTATCAATTGATACTTAAATATTATTAATTTTTATGTTTCTAAGCATGAATTATTTTTTTTAAGTGATAAAATGTGTTTTAAACTCAGTCTACGGCAACTTTATTTTTGTGTATTTTAAAACGAGGCTCCTCATTAACTTCTCATTTGCATACAGAAATTCCCCTTGTGACGTCAGATGGGGAAATCGCATGGCAGCTTGCATTGCCGATACGTGTAAATAAGGCAAATTTCTTGTGTAGTTTTCTCGTCTTTGTCTATATATTCACTTATGTACTTGTTCATCGAGGAAGAATGGACCATAATGAACACATAGTATCAATTTTTGTTGCATGGGGTTGAGTTAGATGGGAAATATGTCCGTTCTGGTGTAGCTGGTCACCGTGATCGTCACCGACACCGGCGCACGTTTGTACACTGTTGCTGGACAAAATAAAATTTGACGTCAGAATTATTTAGCAGGTTACTAGGCACGTCACTACACTGTTTTATTTCATCGATCGTCTGAGTAAAACTTTCAAAATTAAAATAAAAGAGAACATATTTTGACATTCTAAACATTAGACTATAGTGATCAGTATAAAATAATTACTTACTAAATAAATGACAGCCGTGTGGAAATAAATTGACATTTTGTTGAAATAGGTGAACGCGTTGGGTCACGGCGAGGGCAAGTGCGTTAAAAGCGGTGTTTAATTGGATAACAAAAATAATCGAGATCGACACACATACAGATAAATTCAGAGTGGATTCGAGTTAGCTTGATCCATGGCGTGATTGTCATAATTATGACATCGTATTAAACTTTATTTGCTGGAAACACATTGACCAAGCCCGGATTCTTATTTCATAAATTAATTAATAATAATCCATTGGTATTTACATAGTGCAGTAAATCCAGCAAACTGTTCATACATGTAGGTGCTTTACCACATCCTTCCCAGTCACTGGGCTGTATAAATCACAGTGTAAATTGCCCTTGACAACCTTGGGAGCATAGAAACTGAGCTGCTCAAGGTGCATCAGAGCTAAACAAACACGTACAGAAATCACTACTTGACCAGGTACTCATTGACTTATGGATGGAGAGAAACACAGACAGAGTAAAATGGCTGGTAAAATTCAAATCATTAACTTTCTGTTTGAATCCCAATTTCTATAAAGTTGGGCAGGGAATTAAGCCCTAGATGTAGGGAACTTCTGTATTTGCTCTGTATATACTTTCAGTCAGATGTCAAATTAATCAAAAAATATATTTTCATGTACGCCATCATCATTTCAGGCTGTATGTCATAGTGTTTGCCTAATGTGAAAACAAAACAGGTTTAAGGTAAATAAAAATGATCAAGCCATTGTTGGCATGGCAGCAGTATATGTACTGATTCCAACTGATTTTTTGTTGCATGTTACAGTTTTTATTCCTATTTCCGTCAAGTGTCAAATTAATCACTGTTGTCACATCTAAAATATGTTTTCTTGTACGTTGTCATTTTTACTGTTATGCTGGAATGTTTGCCTGATCAATTTTGAAAACAAAACATATCAAGAAATATTAAGCTATTGCTGGCGTATAAGTACTTTATTTGTTGCTGGTTGTTGAAGTATTGATGTAATAAGCAAGGGAAAACAAAACTTTGTTATTTGTAATTTCTTCTGGCTTGTTTGTGATGGCTTTACAGTTCCGTCCTTGTTGCCTCTTGTAAACTAGATATGGTAAGGATCGCCTGCCCCTCCGGGTGGTCGAATCTCAGATTACTTTTGTGTGTGTGCCAATTGTTTGCCTCTATGAAATATCGCACAGGTTTCCTACCAACTGAATTAATTCGCCACCATCAGAAACAAGTGTCATTGAGCATAGTGTTGTAATTCTTACCATGTTTACTAGCAATTGATAATTAAATATACACAAAAACTGATCAATCACCGCAGTGAATTGTAGGTTCTTGTCGAGTTGAGATTCACAATTGTGCAACAAAGACAATAGTGCCTGAAAACGTCAGTGTCAGCTTTCGCAATATTGTAAGTTGACTGACCAGTCGGACCGTCATGAATCTAATTTCAAGATTTGAAATTCTATTTTTATCGTTATGTACAGTTAGATTATCCATGGATTATCATACCTTTGGCATACTATCCATGCTACTGCATACAGTACAGTTATTAATGAGTCTAGGTATGTGGCAAAGATTTCTGTACGGGTCGTTAGAATGTCTCAAGGCGCCAGACTGGTTCAGGTATTGATGTCTTAAGGCGACAGTCTGGTGCAGGTTATGCAAGACATTACCAACTGCAGTATCCATACAAACTCCATACAGCCAGAATCTACTAATTAAATGTTAGGGTTGTATATTGTACAGGCACTTTACATGGGTGAGCAAATTTCTATCAGCTCAGTGTACAAGTAATATAATGACTTACAATATCAAAATAGTTTGTGTTCATCAGTTTGTTGGTTTGTGCTGTTTGCCAAGTACTCATTTGATGTGCATTGATACTTGGGTACGTACATGTGGGTGTTGCTGAACATTTTACGTCAAACAAAGTGACTTATTATTTGCTAATTACTTAGTTACTGATTATTGTTTGTTCTTTGCAGTACAAATCTTGGTAGAACATCTTTGTACACTATCTTGTGTTAGACATACACCAAACACAGATAAATTTATTCATACAGCCCTTGTTATTAAAAACTGCTACTTTTTTATATCCTACTCACTAGTTTGCTAGCTGGGACCTCCATATGTGAATTCATCTCAGACATGTCTGGTGTGATTGATTACATTTAAACTTTACACACATAGTATACATGTAACCATAGACCCTCTTTTTAGAGGGTCTATGATGTAACGCATCATATCATACATTTGCACATGCATTATAATTTGTTTAATGATCCAATTAAACATGACCAAATAGCAGCCATTTTAGTGCTAGAAATTCATGAATATCTGACATTACCAAACCGGATCTTTGTCTTTTGGTATATCCATTGAACTCATTGGGTCATTTGTTTCTTCTGCAACTGCATAATCAACCCTGTTGGGATGTCTGGTGTTTAGTTCATAAGAGATCACTTTGATAAAATATCGACTGGGTCTGTTGCATTTTCAAAGACTTGTTCACTTCAATCCTTTGAATGCCGAAGTTAGCTTTCATAAAATCAAACCTACTTTCTTTTCAAAAATGTTGATCAAATCCTGTAGCCAATGAGCTGTTCAATGTCTAGTTCCAAAACAAATTGCAGCAGAATTTCAATTTCAAAAAAGACATATTTAGCACCTGACTGCTTTTAAGATTTTTCCAGTGTGAACTTCAGAAAATGTCTAATTTTCATGAATTTACCAATATTACAACGTACCAGTAGGTACAATATTTGGTAATAGTGTGATGCTGACATCATAACCACTTGACTCAATGTATGTGTAACAATCAGCTATTACTAGTGTATAATGTGTATCAACATCACATCGCTGTAGACCACGAGAGATATGCTCTTCTTGTGTACATCACTTTTGATTCCCGTGAATAAATAAGAAATAGACCAGTCATTATTATAATCATGCATTAAAGCTCCAGTTTGATGTAAAATACAGTTATAATCGTAATCATAAGTGTAGAAAATGAAAATAAATTTCAAATCTGTTTAAATAGTCTTTGGTTGACATTGATACGCATTGTAAGAAATCAATAAGACTTTGCAAGTCTCAAGAAACTCAAAAAGTGTTGTAATAAGAATGAAACACGGGCATTGTATGTAGTCTGTGTTTTCTTAAGGTGGTCTTTTGAATTTTAAATTCAGACTTTCATCGTCTCGTGGGTGGGTCCATGCTTACAAATGTACCTATGGTAAGAGTGTGTATGCATGTATGCTCAGTGAAAAAGTCATGCACAATAGACCATATGCCAACCTACTGGAGTGGAAAGTTTTCTCAGTTATGATTCTCTGTGCTAGGTGCAGATTTTGCATACATTTCAAAGCAACAGAATTTTTTTACATTCTGTATTTTAATCTATATATATTCTGTAGAATACTTTATTTTCGCTTGGAATTTATTTTCGCTATTTTCACTGAAAGGATGATTTCGTGAAAATAAAATCCAGCGAATATACTTTTTTCCTATATTTCACATTCAACTCATCAAAAATCAGTGAAAATAAATTCCATAAAGAACGCCCAAAAAGCCTTTTCAGCAAAAATTAATTCCAGCGAAAATAAAGTATTCCACAGTATATATATATATATATATAGAAACAGAATAACTTTCATGTTTTTCAAACTATGTACAAGAGAGTACATGTATAATAATTATTTTCAGATATTGATGTAAATTTTTCTTCTGTGCTTGAATGTACATTCCTTTTACAAATATCCAATTTAATGTTTGACTGAAAGTAATTTCACTGATTTTCACTTTTTGTTGAATCCTCTTTAATAATTAGCACTAATTATACGCATTTTGCAATTATTTTCAATCTTCATAATATTTAGGATTAAATTATATATCATTGTACATATCATCCCCTTCAAGAAGTTGTCGTCTACTTTCACCACCTTTCACTAAATATAATTGCATAAATTGTTTTCACACTTAATAAAAATTGTTGATCACAGCCTGTCTATTCAAAATCAAAAATATATATATAGAAAATACATAAAAGCATGTTGGATCAACATTTTGACAGGTAATAATATTCAAATCATATTTTGTGCTATATATTGTATTTTGTATACATAAACCACTCAAAGTTAAGAAGTATGAAAATCAAAAAAATTAAGCTTACAGTTTTTTTGTGTTTTTTTTTTTTTTCAGATCATGATTTTCGCCTCTCGGATATCAGTAGTTGTTTTATCCCGCTGAGAACCAACCAGTGCTTTCAACCCCCCTATAGTCGAAAACACACTACTTCAGATGGTCTGATATTGCAGTCTGGTAAACATCATTTGAGAGCCAGTAAAGTACAAGTTAAATCAACAAAAAGAAAAGCTTCACCTTCCAAAACGAGAACCAGGTACAGAGCACCATTAAAAGTCAATCGCAGTTCAGATTCTGATGAAAATATGGCAACCAGCTTACAGCAGAGAAAGTCGCAGAGTTTCCCATTGCTGACTCAGTTGAACCCTGGAAAGCAGGCGGAGAGTCTGGGAAACAATGCTTGCTATGCCGGTATGAAGAACCTCGCATCTAGCCAGGAGAGTTCTATATATTCCCGAACTGTGCCGACAAAACCTGTAATAACCAATGGCGATAAGGTTGACACCAATGACACTAACCCAGTGGATTTATGCCTCTTGTTACTGTCTTTGTTAGAGAAACTTAGCAGTACTGAGATCCTGCATAATGTACAGAGGAACTCGGTTGCTGTGAGTCTGATTCCTCAGTTAGCTCGCCTTTCAACTGTCTTAAACAAATTTCCAGGGTATAATGTAGAGTCCCTAATGGATACAAGTCCAAGTGATCTTGAAGTTGAATTCGCTGATGGATGGGATGATGATACAATCACAGTACTTCAACGAGTCGTTTTACGTCTTGTTCTAAAACTCAGTGCAATAACGTGCCTTCATCAAAACGGCTGCTCTGAATTATCGATGAATGGAACTCTGACCTCTATTCTTGATCTTGCCACTGACATCAATACTAAAATCAGTTCTGCAATAAGTAACAAATCTTCACAGGAAGATATTCTTGCGTTAACAGCGAATAAAAAGAATGGAGGCATGGACAATGTTTTGGAACTCACAGAGTTTGACTTGCTAAAGAAAAAAGACAAGAGTGACTCTCACAGCATAGACAGGAGACTTTATTTTGTTTGTGAAGTATTACAGGGTGTTCTGCAGTTGATCAGTTCAGTCATGCAAAATTTGCCTCTTAATCTGACTTTCATGGCACAGACACTGAATTTGTTGCATGAATTTTCATCAAGTCAAGGTTACACACTATATACAACTGCAATTGAAGAATTGGAAAACATTCTCTCAAAGACAAAAAACTCTGACAAGGAATACTACCAGATTAAAGATTCTATCTCCTCCCTGATTTCCAACCTGACCAAAGTGATTAGTGCAGTCAAGAAGGCAAAGGTTGAATACATCCACATAATGACTTGTTTAAAACGTAAACATCGAAAATGTGAATTCAGTCGTTATGTGCATCATCATCATAATGTGTGCGGACTGTCATGCTCGGCGTATGAAGAAACCAACCATTCTTTGTCAGATAGTTTGGGGAGTTTTGACACTCCAAGTTTTCTGACCGCCGCAAGTGCTGCAAAATGCTGTGTTGCTACGTCGGCAGAAGTTCTGTTGAAGGTTTTTGAGAAAAGTAGTTGTAAACACACACAGGCGGTAATTCTGGCTAATTTAGAGACAACCGGTGTGTGCTGCTGTATGCCGCCCCATACAATTGTCTCCTCTCTACTGAATGGTCTGGATGAGCGACCTGTCACTGTAAGAAGTGGATCTCTCAACCTGGTTAACAAAATAGTGCTTGAGCAGCTTGGTGGCGGAGTGAGTACACCAACCATGGGAAATGACACATGTAATATATGCTGTGATTCTGAACCTCAGATCAACAGGAGTTCATTTATTGATTCCTCAACAGAGCTTACAGTTGGATCATATCCTGATAACTTAGACAGTGCCATTGGTAGTGATGCAAGCACTCATGACGAAGAGCAACAACATACTAAGTGGAAAGTCTTGTCCAAATATAAAGAATTACTTCTCTCAGAGAATGAGAATGTCAGTGTTCCAGTCGCGAAGCATCTTCTCCATCTAGTCACCAATGGCAATGCTATTATCAAAAAAGTTTTGTTTCTTCAAGTTTTTTTACCAACTTTTGAAGCTGCCAAGGCTACAACGATGGTGGACAGTAGTTTGAGGAACACTCCTAGTAAGCATCTCATGTCTATGACTGTGCTAGAACATTGCTTTAATGCCTTACCTCCTCTTCTGACATCATCCTCAGCTCAAGAACTCTTTCTAACTCATGGCGGTTTGACACAGCTTTTGCATCTTCTGCATCATGATAGCACACGTTTGGCTGTTCTAAGTGTCTTTGAGGTCTTGATTATGGCAGAAGACCATCTGGAGGATATTGCTAGGAAAAGTGGCTTCTGTACAAAAAAATCTCTTATCAACAATGTGGAAGTCAGTGGTGGGGACAACTATAGTGATAGTTCATCACCGATCGAAGATCATCATCATTTTGTGGTCCCCCCAAAGAGCAGCATGAGTAGCGGTATAAGTGTTGGTAGTTTTGGCGTTGTTGATGCATTTCTAGAGATCATTCTTGATGTCATTTCAGAGGAGAGTGGCACTGGTGGAAATCATGACTCGTTGGCTTCCGAAGATGGGACAGACAATGAAGGAAGTATTTCTAGCAGTACTCTCACAGAGTTTGTGAATTCTAGTGAAGGTAGTTTACTTTCTACTTTGAGTACATCAGAACGAAAGATCAGTGTACAATCCTTACAAGGCATGTACACTTCTTCAGAACTGAAACTCGGTGAACACAATTTACAAAGCCAGTATAACCTTTCTTTAGAAAGGAAGATAAGTGCACATTCACAGCCTATCCAAGTTGGTGACCTATCAACTGTCTCATCCAAGACTGATTCTAACAACAGCAGTGTGCCCTCATTTGAAACAGCATCAACCGAGTCAACCCGCACACTCAAATCAAATTCCTTCCGGAAGAACATTATCTCAAGCCTCTCTGATTCAGAAATAGAAGTCGCCGCTGATGTCTGGCGTAGCTGCAAATACCTCTATCTTCAAAGTCTGGTTTTTAAGAACCATTTTCTAGAGCAACATGGAGCAGACACTGTTGAGGGTCTCCTTAAGGACACTGTAATTGCTCTGAATGAATATATAAAAACTGACGAAAGATCAGAATTTTCACCAGTAACCAAGACTCTTAGAAAAAACAGTGAAGTTGGTGCTGACAGACTGAGTCATTTATTCTCTCTTCTTGAGTGTCTTCTTTCGATATGTTTAGAATGTTCAGCGACGTCCAAGGATCAAACACATATACCGGTTAGTAAATACATGTATGCTTTCAATTTATTCTTCTGTTCTGTTTACGTATACATTAACTGGATTAATTGTTTTCTGTATTTTACAAAAAAACATGGCCCAACAAATTGTTTAGGGGGATTTCTGGTCATTTTTTCTTGCCCATCATGTTCATTATTTATATAAATCATTAATTTATGAGGTAACTGTGTCCACGTTGAGTTTAACAGTTCAGGAATGTTTAGAAATCCGGTCCACTCATACCCAGTAATCATATTTAGCCATGTACATCTTACAACTAATACTGAACTTTGTTTTTAACTTACACTTTCACAAAATTGTTTTTCACATTTGTTAAATGTATTTCAAATCTCGTTACTAATTTGTGGCCAGCATGAAAAAAAAATGTTTTATTACTGTTTTTTGTCTTGTATAATTTTATATCTGAGTGTTGAATTGATAAAAGTTTGTTGATATAGTTTTGATCCCCACTCTTGATAACTTTTCTTGTATCATTTATTTTTTTTTTTTAGACTGTTGAAGCCCAGTTAGCAGCATTCAAGACTCCTCTTTTAGAATCAGGTTTAATGCAATCCTCAAGGGGTCAGGAATTTTGTGACGCACTTTTGCATATAGCCATACAGACAACTGGACCACTAGATGGCGCTCATGGATCTATGACAACCCAGCAGGTAATGTGTTATCATTTCAAATTATATAAATATGTATCCAAATGATATAATTGATGATACTGACTGTGAAACTGAGGGTATAAAATAAAAGGAGCATTCTCATGAGTATCACTCTGGCTTCGAAGTGTTTGCATACTTTTGATAAAATGTGAGAAGTTCATGTACAACTACCTCAAATAGAAATATTTTCATAAATCTCAATTTTGTATGACAGTACCAATGGCTGCTTCTTATTTACATTGAAAAATCTGTTTATTCTTATATTTTTTCATTCACTCATCAATGGCTTACTTGACACCCATCTTACAGATGAAAAAAATTATGTAAATACATTTATTTTTGTGATATTTGTTTTGTTATTAGGCAGCTGCAAATAAGTTGTCCGTTCATTTTGAGCCCTGGACCATGGATAGTAATATCAGTGATAGCAGTGATTCACAGAGTGAGCCCAGTGATGTGTGTAATACTGATGGGGGATATGATGCTGATAGTGAAAGGGATTTGGATGATGACAACAAAGGTAACAAATGAATCAGAATGTTGGGTGTAATTGTTTGACTTGCACTCCAGTTGGTGCCATGTCAGACAATAAATATGACATTTCTTTGAATATTCTGACATAATTACTGTGCTTAAAGTAAGAGGTTACTATTTAGAAGTGATCATTTTGCTTCATTGAATATAGAAGAGTTCTCAACAATATATCTTCAAATCTCAAAAAATATACATTTCCATGAGATTAGGAAAAGAGGAGAGTAGTAGTGCTTCAGGTTTGATCTGTCAGTTGAAAGCATAGATGAATTTATTTGCGATATATGAAAGATCGCAAGTACTGCAACACGTTTGATGTGGGTTTCATTTGAAAAGTAAAGTTTGCCAGGCAGGATGTTATTTACTGCATAATGGCTTAAGTTTGGTATGAAGGTTAGGTGAATATATACAATTATGTCAAAACTTGTCGAATCGATGTATTTTCGATATATCTCACTGTCAACATTACTTGGTCACAACATTTTTTTTTTCTCTGATGATGATGATGAGCAAAAGAAATTTTACAAAATCTAAATCTAATTTTGCAAAATCTAATTTTTTTCAGGTCTGAGTCTCAATAACTTGGCTGAGGATACCAGTAGTGACAATTGCAACACTCAAACCATCCTGCTTCACCCACAAGTGTGTAAACTGGTTCTAGAGTTACTAGCAGCTACTGTGAGTGAAGGCAACTCTGACGTTATATCCTATGGTCTGCGTGAAATGATCATGATTGCCAAAACTTCACAGTCCCATGGTATAGCCTTGTACTTGGATGGGCTGGCGAAAGCAATACTCAAATCATTTGGCTCAGTTCTTAAATCCAGTGAAGAACAGTTCCAAGGTAAGACCATTGTCTTAGGCAAAGCTTAAATAGTTTCACTGGGATACTTTTTGATAAATGCAGCATTATTTATTTCATGGATATAATTTGTTCTCTAATGTCATTTTTGCATAGCATCAAAACATCCATTTATATTTATAGCTTGCTGAGTGTTTGAAAATTATGAAAGACTCTAGACCCATATTTAAATTTTCATTGATATATGCAATAACATTGTATATGCATAAAGTCCAAATAGTGTCATACACATGCAATTTTGCATTTAATATATTTTGTATTTCTGACGTCCTTGATTACATGTGCAAGTTATATTTTGTCCATGATACTCAATTTGGTCCTCTTATTTTATTGGCAATTAATTAATTAATTTGCTTTGCACATATTGAATAAAACCATATCATATAATTTTAGATGTGGCCTGCTTTTCTCTGCAATTTATGGTATCAGAATAAATAAGAATGAGAAATGCATAGTTGTTTCACTCGGCAAGGTGAACGGTATCGCAGTTACTCAACAGTGAGTAGTGTGATTGTGAATGTGTGTAGAATATTGACAATGAGGTAATAGTTACTAAGGCTCAACATTGAGTCTGTGTTTACCTTCACGTCAGTTACAGGACTGCATAGCTAGTCAATTAAAACCCAATACTGTGCTTCCCTGCGAAACTATTCACACTACTTGTATTGGAAACAGGTGACAGTTACTCACACTATTTGTTTTCATCAAGTAGGAGTTAAAATATCTGATGTCATTTAAAATTGAGAGAAAATGCCTGAAAAGGTCTGTGAATGAATGGAATCTCTGTGATGCTATAAAGTACCATGCCACTATGTGTCTGGTCTGAAGAGGGTGATTCCACCGACTCATCAGACATTTAAAGTCTCGTGCACACTATTTATACCATTTTATTTTGTCAGTTTGCACTCTCGTCAGCTCAAGATGTCTTCTTTTCATACCCAGGTGATCATATTTCAAAGTTTCCGACTTTATATGCTAGATCTTGGTGAGAATCGCCAAGACTTGAAACGGTACTTTGGTCCATTTCAATGCAATAGAAAGGCCGCTTAGAAAGATTAGGCAAGGAAGGTGTGAAGTGGAAAATCATATGTGGAACTGTGAAAAAATAGAAAGTAGCTGTACTCTGCCTTTTAAATTCTTCCTGTGTGTTTCTTTGTGTGAAATGTAAGTTTGTTTTTGTAGGTAGTTGAACTCTCTGTCAGGGAAAACTGGCTTGTACTCACAATTCGTGAATAGACCTCTTTAGTACCACTGGATTGATGTGGTTGACGGTGATGATCGTGTAATTGACCGTGTAGTTGTTCCTCTGTGTGCATACCCAAGGTGAAACATTGGACATCCTCAGTACCTGTTTGTTGATCTTCTCTTTGTATAAACCTATTAAAGGAGATTGTTTTGTCGTTCAGATGATTTTGCTGGTTTACATTATGTGTAATCTTTCAAACGTTTTAAAACTAGCATACCAGACATTACTGGATGAATGGGCAGTGTTGGCTTTACTCTGTTTGCCTACAGCACGTAAGTCTTAGTGCAAACTTTGTCAAACCCACTTGATAAGCTTAAAAGTTTGCCAGTAATCTCTGTTTACAGACAATTAGAAACTCAGGAGTAACAACCACCAATCTGCCTCGCCCATATGGTGAAGGTTGAGGTGTATTGGGAAAAGAATTATCTTTTTAGTCTGTATAAACCTCTACTCAAACGTCACAATCATCCTGTGTCGTGTTTGATATGTGGCATATGCAACATGTTTGAAATACTAGTACATTGTGTGTCGACAAAAAGGTTGCAATACCTTGAGTACCGTAATACAACTTTCAATATAATGTATTTTACTGGATGTACTGAAATCTGAGTGAAGTTTTAAAATAAAGCTTTTCAATGTTTGGAAATTTTGTAGTGATGAATATTTCACTGGGGTTTTACTTTATTAGGCCAAGAATGAGAAAAAATATCTACGTCTTGTATTGTTGTAAGCTTAAAATGAGACAGTGAGGCATCCATTTTTCACTCTTGTGTGCGTAGGATTACACTGTGAATAGTGTTTTCATGTATAAATATACCTGGTATGTAGGTATGTGTGTATATATGACTGTTCCATCGTTATCTCAAAAACGCTTGTCGAATTTATATGAAACTTTGTAGATAGATCCCCTGGGACAATGCATAGACCTGATTAGTGTTTGGTTATAGTTTTTGCTTATTAATTACATGTACATAATTTGAATATTAATTTGTCAATTTTCAGCTTTCATACTGATAAATGCCTAACTTTTATATCTCAAGTACTGTTGCATGTAGGACAATGCAACCAGTAAATATTGAAGTCTTTTAACTCTTATACATAGACATAAATTATAATATTTGAGAAAGCTATTGCATGCTGACAATATATGGTCATGTAATCTCATTAATATGAATACTCTTAATATTTAATAAAATATTGCAGATAGTCATATGACATGTGTCTTCATTATTACTGTAATATCTCAAGCAATGCTGCAGATGGGGGCTTGCAACCAGTGCTATAATAAAGGCTTCAAACTAGAGTTATGACTTGCGTATCCGATGTCCATATATGGTCATGTTACCTCACTAATAACCATAAATATAACTTGCAGTTATATTTTAAAATGTCCCTATTTGTACATCTCAATAATGCCTCGTATAGTCTTGGCGCATGGGAGTTGTTTCTGTGGTGTCATTGATTTTTTTTCATGTGCTACTGTACAAGACAAGCACTGACATTTTGATGGATTATTCTCAACTTGTTGCTATTGAAACTGACACTTTAAATTTGTTCCTAATTGTTTCTTTTTACATGTAATCCACCCATTTCTTTGGGTGTTTAGCTCGTACTACAATACTTCGGTATAGTAAACATTTAAAATTTGTTCATCAAGTGTTACCGGGTAGTGTGTGGTTTATCTTTATATGTTGTCTCTCAGTATGGTCTAGTCTTTACATGATCAGGAGTGCCGATGTACGGTTTCCAGGCATTTACGCAATGTACGTCATACCAACTATGACTACAAAGGATGACTACCGAAAAGTTTATATTGTGGGGTCCTCAAGAAAGTCCAGTCAACTTTTTGTGTTGACTTTGTCATTCAAATGAATGAAAGTGAGGAGCGACGGTACGTGACACCAGGCACGATACCACTTGTTTGTTTGTTTGTTTACTGGAATTGTGATAGTCAGTTTGCGTTAGTGATTCCTCCACCTGTCTTTGTGTACATTGGCTGGATATCGTTTTAACCAATATTCATGCATCACTGCTGAATTCATTGCTCACCGACATATACGCATCACTGAATTCACTGCTCCATGCTCATCAATGCCACATTGTAATGTTGATATAACCTAGATAGACTAAAAAAAGTAAATCATTGACATCAAATTCTGTCTACCATGGGAATTGGGAAATAAACTGTATAGTATACCAGGACATGATCCATGAATGTGTGATATTCTTTGTTAGAATTTAAATTGCAAGAGACACAATGTAATTGAACATGAAAAGTTGAATATTATAAAATGTTCTTCTGTGACACGGGGTATTTCGTTTTGCATGATTATTGTTGAAAGTTCAGTAGTATCATGTAACAGCTTATCTGAAAACAAACAACAAACTGACTAAATGGCAATTACTAAACTTAACCCAGACAAAGATATATACCTTGTTTTTTTTTGTGTCAACATATCTTGATACAATAACTGACAGCAGGCAATAAACCCTAACTCCAGCTGCAATAAACATGTTTGCTGTGCACTGGCAATGATACCTGCTGTGGTCTTGTCCTCAGTGCACATATGAAAGCGCATCTTCCTGCAGGTGACCATGATTAAAACTTCTTATATTCATATTGTTTTTGTCATTGAATGTTTCATCATAGTTTTTCGATGCACAATAATTAATACCGGTAGATAATTTGCCTACTAATTAACTACTTTTAGTTTTAGTTTTCTCAAATGTCAGATAATATTTTGGAATTAATCTCATTAATATAATTAGCTAATTTGCAATTTTCAATCACAGAACAAATAACTATACCCGTCACATTCAGTGCCATTTGGTTAAATACTGATTTTGTGATAGTTGAACAAGATTTCTAGCTTGAGTTGGTCAGCTCTTCATTAAACTTGTGCAGTCAGACAAAAAAAATTAGCATCAAATTATGCTACATAATAAGAAAGAAAAAAAATATTTTAATTAGATTGAGAATGTTGAAGATCAAAGCTGTCCATGCAACTTGCCTTGGCATTTGCTTGGTAAAAGTTTAAAAACATGCACAATTGAGTTTATAACATCTCTTTTGTATTTCATCCCTCTTGAAAGCATTTTACCAATTATTGCATGTACTTGTTTTTAAAATAATATTCATTGCATTAATATTTATAATCTGTGTTTATTTTCCTTCACAGAAATTCACTCTTTGTTACTAGAGTTGTTTGTAATATTAGTCAGACACAGTATATCATCAACAGAACTCAGAACGTTCTTGGCACTTCTACACAGTCCTGGTGCTCCGATAGTAAGTGAAAAATGATCCAGATATCAGATTTTGTAGATGGTAACAGATATGATTTATCAGAAAATTTGTACGCAATTCATATACATATTGGAAATTAGAAATGTATCATCACAATCTGTTTTTTTGTTCACAGGATTCTCTTTTATCAGCCATGACAGATATTGCAAGTAACATGATGATACAGCCTTCTTATATACTCTGTTTTCCTGCCATCATTGCTTCATCACCTGAAATGTCCCACAAAAGTAGTCCTTCAAAACAGGATTCTGATTGGTCACCTTGGTCATTGGCACCCCTGATACTACCAGTCAGAGACAGTCTTTCATGGCCACCCAGCACTAAAGGGTTCAGCTTGTCATTGTGGATCAGAATGGAGGGGAACATGTCAGAAGAAAAGATGAGAAAGTATGATTTACCACGAGAAGAGAGTTCTGATAAAATAGGTAACTGAAATAGTCTTTGTTAATGTATGGCTAATAGTAGTCGTTTGGGGTTGAGATTCTAGTAAACTTCTGAGTTTTAGATGTTTTATTTGCAGTAGTTGTTGTGTACATGTTTATGAACTCCTTTTGTATAGGACACGGGTTCTCCCAGTAAATGGCTAATTGTTGAAAGCAAAGAAACTAGTTCCTTTAGCCCAAAATTATTTTTTTTAAATGATAGAAAAACATATGCAAATAGGCAAAATGCTGCATGAAAATGTTAGCAGCAAAACATTATCGATTAACAAGTAATTAATTCCAACCTATTAGGCTTGTTGTTATAACAACACGAATAATAACAGTATCGCATATGATTTTTTACTGTCATTTCCACAATTCTTCAAAAGATGTGATTTGTAAATATTACACCTATTTGTTGTCAAACTTATTGGTAACTGTATTGCAAATTGCTCCCACACTTTATGAAGTTGAAATCATAACAACAATCATTGCTGCAAAGCCACACATTTTATTGCCATATTAGACAACGAATTATGTTTTATGTTATAAATGTAACTATGTCTGTTGAATTTGTGTGTTATTCTAATAAAATGTCTAATTCAATAAGCTCATCAAATTAATGATATCTGACCCAGAGTAAATGTTCATCTTGGTGAATGAACACTGCACCCATAAAATTAGGTTGCTATTCCTTGTTTTTCTTAGTTCAGGCCTTCAATTTCTTAGGGGACCAGCATGATTTGAAGTAAATGTTGAATTTGGTTTTATTGTAGAATTCATTGTTTTGCATTGTGTCACTAGTATGCTCTCTATCTGGATGGCTGTATGTCAATAAATATATCCTTTATTAAAATCTGGTGTTTGGTTTATTCTGTGTTCTGGTATGTATGACTAGTGATAAAGAATGTGCATGTATTTCACTATTGTCTACTTTGGTGACAGGAAGTCTGGCTTTGTAACATATTTTATGGTCATTGTTGTTTTTAATTTTACCTTCATTGCATAATATGCATTTGCTGTACATTTTACCTACAAGTCTGATAACAAATACAATGGGTGTATCAACATTTACATTTGAAGAATTGTGGAAAGGACAGTAAAACTATTGTCTCTTGCTGACTTATTACACTCCTGGGAGAGGTAATTATATGTGGGGTAAAAACAATATTTGTTCAGACCCTTTACTTGTACTGCTGTGCTTATAGATCACATTTTGAAACAATAGAGGGCACTCTTCAAATTGATGCTTTGGATCACTAGAGGGCTCTGTTTATTTTAAGCTTAGCTGAAATTGTTTTATAATTGATCACATGCCGTATAGATGAATTACTAATAACATCGTGAAAAGCATTTATTGTGGTTTCATCTTTGTTTAATTAATAATGGTATTTTTTTTTTCTCAGACATGCCACAAATGGATTATGCAACAAGGCGAAAAAAGTCTCCAGAAAAGAGAATTGATTTACATGCTTGCCAGCATGTATGTTCAGTTGGTACAAGGGAAATGGTGTACCAAATGTGGTATCATCCACCAACCAATGATCTTTTGTTTAGGTAACTCAACTAGAATTATATACAAAAAAGAACAACGATGAATAATTACCAAATACATATACATTGTACTTGTATTTGTAAAACTAGAGAGTGGCAAGATTTGAGTTTTAGTTACTAGGATTTAGAGGTTATGAACAGCATATAAGATCTCTGTGGTAAAATTTAGTATATTTGATTAGTGTAAGCTAGTTTATTATTAGATTTCTGCAGTGTTTATCTAGCTCTAGGTGTATTCTTGTTGGTCCAGAAAAAGTGTATTCATTTTTGACTTTTTACATCAGTCATCAAGGGTGTGAAAAGCAACACAGCAGATGGAATGTTTGTAATCACTGGAATTCTCATTTCAGACTAGTGAATGAATCTAAGGAAAACATGAATGGATTAGTGTTGGTGGAAGCTGTGGTGTCCAATATGATAACACCAGGAAAATGGCACCATTTAGCGATGACTTACTCTGAGTGTCCAGACTTTAAAAACACATCTGGAATGGTAAGTATAGGACATTGTGTACTGTTAAATAATCTGATTTAAAGAAGTAAATCTGGTTGAAATACTTTTTTTCCTTTTATTTACATATAACTTTTGACAAATCAGTGTAAATAAATATTGTATCTCAGTTTTATGTTAATTTGCTTATATTTCTCTATCATAATACATGACTCAGTCTGCGGAAATCAACAATTTTTTGTTGTTGATATCTTTGTCAGTTAGTGTTCATTTATGTATGTATTTTGAAAGCTAGCATATAAGACTAATGTGTTGTTACATTATATATGTATAAATGACATAATTTTAATTTTACTAGACTATAATAATAGTTGACGGTCACCACCAGAGAGATATCGTGATGGACTATGTAACTCCAGAATTCTCAAAACAAGAATATGATGTGTGCTGTTTACTTGGACATTGTAACAAGGATACAGACATATCTCCTGCTGCACTCTGGCAAATCAGTTGTCTCATGCTCTTCTCTGGTGAGTCTTCTAAATAACTGGTTATGGAATTTAACCACTGGTACAACAACATAAATAAGCTCACTCTCTTTTAGCATCTTAAGGAATGATTTGATTACATCAATTTTCATTGGTTTTAAGTCCCTGTATAGCTCAGATATTTGATGTTCTAACTGCTATCTTTGATGTTGTGAATTTGGACTCTCACTCTCAGAGTCATGTAATTATGTAATGCAAATTCAAGTCTGTAAGAAAAATAATTGACAGATAGGAATTAGTGACAGTTGACATACTGTAGAATACTTTATTTCGTTTGGAATTTATTTTCGCTGAAAGGATAATTCCGTGAAAAATAAAATCCAGCGAATATACTTTTTTCCCTATATTTCATATTCAACTCGTCAAAAATCAGTGAAAATAAATTCCATACAAAACACCCAAAATGCCTTTTCAGCGAAAATTAATCCCATCTAAAATAAAGTATTTCACAGTATTTTTTAAAATACTTTTGTGGGCTTCCGCTATTTAATTTCAAAGCATTCTTATCTGCACAAATACGTTTGTGATCACTTCTACTTGTTTAATGTTTTGCAGTTCCATTTTTCTATTACTAATTATTTACAATCACCATTGTATGAACTGATAAATCATTCATTGATCTCTTCTTGTTACAGATTCTATATTGAACAAAGAGTATGCTTACCATCTTTACACCCTGGGTCCCGATTGTAGTACATTATGTAAATGTGACTCCAGTAAACAGACTGGTAACTATGAGATGGGTATATGTCCGGATATGATTGATGCTGGACTCTCACAGGATATGCTGACTGGTGATAGAGAAACTGATATCAAACCATTAAGAGTGAGTGTTAATGTGCATTAGGATGTAGTAACACCGGTAGTTAACAACAGACCATTTTCTGTTCACTCAAAAGGTCATAGTGGCGACAAAACATAGTAATACACAAGATTGTCATGACATTCCCCATTTATGAAAACCCTATTAAGTTTGATCTGAAGCATGTTGAATTCTGTTTCGTCAAAATTATTCCAAATATTCTAATTTTTCACTGATGTCTAAGATGAGCCATATATTCTACAAGTAGACAAGTAAACATTGACTAAATATAATTCCTTTATTTCTTGCTAACTCAAATGAATTTTCATTTCTGCAGGAAAGTATTGTGTTGACTTACAGCCCTCGAAATTGCAAGGTATTCAGTCTGTACCAATTACCGCCACACCTACATCGATCCATCAGTATATCAAACATCATACCAAGCTCACCAAAGCCGTCGAGCAGTGATATATTTGTACAGCAGCAAGCCATACCGATGCAGGCTGTTGTGCGGTCAGATGTTGAACTTGTACCAAGCATGTACAGGGGTCTGCAGAATGCTGTCTATGAAGTCGGGGGAATATCTGTATTTATATTCCTCTTTGCCAAGGTATGAAATACTTCAGTTACTATAAGCATGTCCATAGCTTGTATGTTATCATTAATAGAGTAGAAATGCATTCCAGTGCTCACAAGTATATCTCTATTTCATGAGCGCAAAACTTGCCATGCATAATAAAATTATCTGACTCCATTTGTTGTAAACCATTGTTACTATTTGTTAGCGACTTTGTTGTTAAAACTGAGCATGCATGCCTTTTTTATTAGTCCCCATTCGGACGTAGTCCGAAAACGGGGACTTATGTTTTGCCCTGTGTGCGTCCGTCCGTCCGTCCGTCCGTCCGTGATCACCTGTATCTCGAACACGCATGGACCGATTAAGTTCAAACTTCACTCATACATCACACATTATATGGGACATATGCACATGCATTTTTTTCA